AAAAATATATTAGTACATGTAGTTGTATATTGTCAGAACTCAGGAAAAATGCACTAGAGGCTAGTAGGGAGCCCGGGTGAGGGGGGACAACAAAGAATTAAGTTTAGTTTTTAAGTGTTTGCATAAATCCTGATTGTCTACCCTGTTAAAGAAGGGCTTCAACCTCCCATATGCAACTTTGCAAAGTAAAATAATTTTCAAAGTAAAAAGTAGAAGCAAAAGGAAGAAAATCCAGTGTAATCATTTTTACTACCAATAAAATTTTCTTAAGATGATACGATATAAAAGTCAAGTTACCTCACTTTCCTGTTTCTTTTGTAAAGAAAGGAAAAATACCTTAGAAATTAAATAACACTTGCTGTTCACACCAGGGTTTAGCATCTATGTAAATATTCACACACACACACACACACAACTTCTATAGTCTATGATTATCCTTACTATGTGTGATTTACTCAATGCTTTCTATCCCATTAATAAAAGATACCCTTTGCAGCCCCCTGAACAGATCTCAAAACCACGTGAGAAAGCTGAGTTGAGTAAGGAAAATGGAGCCTATTCCCAGATGGGGTTATATATTTCTGGGTCTATTAGACGCTTCAGGAAAGTGTCAAAGAATCACTGTTCATTATGGTAACGATAGCACTAATTCCTTTAATAAGATACGTCTGTGCTCATTTCCAAGCCCCTCCCATTCCTTTGTATCAACCCCAAGTCTGAGAGGCACCGTCTGGCAGGTCTGCCTTTCCTTCAGCCCGACAGGCCAGTGGTCCAGGTGCTAGTCATATGTTGGTTTTCAAGGTTAAACCTCTATGGTCCCAGTGCTCCCAACTGTGGAGACATTCTTCCTTACTGTTTTCAGCAGCATGGGAGCTTGTCATAATCAGCTCTGGCACTGTGTTGAGCCAAAGTTGAACTGTTTGTTCTCTGGGTCACTCAGTGCAAAGATGGTAAGGCTGTGATACAGACCTGCCTGACAGTATGTCCCATTAATGTCTATCTTTAGAAAATAATCCCAGCAGCCCCAATGGTAGAGATAGAATGTAATAACTTAGATAGTAAGTGTGGATAGTAAGAATTAGATAGAGTGTGTTAAGACTCTAGACGTGGGAACAACATAAGAGCAAAGATCTTGGGAAGATTGTTATAACCTGAGGACCTGGTCTGGCCAGACAAGGCACAATGACAAAGCTACTGTATCTGAAACAGAGTGACTGATGGAGACAGGGTAAATCTAGGATGGAGCCTAAGTAGGAGTCAGAATACAATGTTCACAGACCACAGTGAGATGCTTCTTGGGGTCATTGCAACAATGCACCACTGGAATAATTTCAATTGTTCTGCATCACTTTGGTGGCAGTGATAAGAATGGATGCAATAGGAGGCCATGACTGGGCCAGATGGACAATGCCAAAGGTGGGCATTACGGAAATCTATGCAGTTTATCTAGTTAAAACGTTTTAATACCTGTTCTGTTCCAAGAAATGGGTTAGGTGTGAGAGACAAATCAACAAATTGAACAAAACAAGAACTAATCTTTGCCTTATAATCTGGAGAGAATTGTCGTAGAAGTAAATTACTAGTATAAGATCAAAGAGGTCTATGAATTATGAAGGACTATAAGAGCATATATAGTAGAGACCTAATTTAGCCAGGCCACGTGTGTGATGATGATGATGGTGATGGTGTGTGTGTGTGAGAGAGATCACACGGGAGGTCAGTAAGAGCATCGGAGTGGAGACTAGCTGGCATGCAGCCCTGGGAGTCTATAGCCCTCATGTGGAGCACTTTGAGGACCTGACATTGGGGAACCAGCAGGCTGAGGGACAAAGTGGGAAAAGGTGACAAGGAGCTGGAAACAGCAGCATTGAGCAGACCATTTACTGTAGTAAAGGCCATGAGAGGGAGCTGCGTTTAATTCTATTTTAAGCACGGAAACATTTTTAAACGAAACTCTCTCATTGTTGTTTCTGCCCTCTCGTAGTTCTGTATTATTTCTGAGACTTAATTTGAAGTTTGCAAAAGGAAGCACGACAAAATGGTCTTTATAAAACACTAAATTTTCTGGCATCTGATTCACATAACTAGAGAGACTCTCAAAAGATCAGCATGCCTCCTCCTTCTCCTCCTCCTCCTTCTGCTCCTCCTCCTCCTCTTCCTCAAGTGCATTTCAGGATAACGTAGTCATCATAGTCCCTGGGTTGTGATGTGGCAATGTTATCTTTTCCAAACCTGTCATGCCTCAGTACTTACCCAGTAGGCTCCTTTCTGGACCCCTGTGTCTTATGAGCGCATGTGGGCTGGAAACACATATCCAGTGAAAGTCTGTATAGGTGAACTCAAATAATACATATAGCAATTTTGATGCTGCCTCAACAGAAGTCCAGATCAGACGATACTAAGACACTCAGATGACTCCTACAGCTTAACAGTAGAACTGTGTCTGGATTCTCCTACCGAGCTCTCAACTCAAATGAGGAGATTCTGAATGTGAAAGATTGATAGTGCCTATTTTCAGCTGAGGGCAGATGTTCCTCCATAATGGGTGTGTCTGGAGATTCTTTGCCTACACTGCTGGGACTAAGGTGCTGCTGGCATCCAGCCAATAGAAGACAGATGCAGCCAGATGCCCCCTGTCAGTACAGGGTATGCAGGACAGGACCCATGGGAAATTTCAGCAGTGCTGTATTAGTTTGGTTTATCTTTTGATATGTTATGAATATTGTTTACTTGTTGAGAGGCAAGAATTGTCCTATATATAGGGGATTTTGTTTAATTTGTTTTGTTTAATTAAGAAGAAATGTATTAAAGTAATGTGAGTTACAAATCGCTTGAAAAAGAAAAGTATCCACCCCATTGGCAAGTGTATGTCTTAAATTAGAGACAAGAGGAATATCTCAGGTGGGTGAGAAATTCTTTAGAGTTTGTGCGTTTCTTCCCTAAACACACTCTGACTACTCTTATATAACTATTATGGGCTGTGAGCTCTCATATTCCTGAGTGGCTCTTCCCTGCTTAAACATTCAGCGATACTGTTCTGATCCTCCAATTGGAACTGAAGCCTCCTTCTGAGGAGAAAGATTTTTCTCCAACACAGGTTTTGTACAAGCTTTCTACTTATGTTGGACATGAAGGTATACACACCATGTTATTTTGTGTGTTTTGATTCATCTTCTGTTAGAAACTAAGTGGGAAATAAGATGAAGTTTGTGATAAATGGTGGTAAGATGTTTTACCATTCTTACTAATCGAGTTTGGGCTAGGGGATGTTTGTTAGGTGCGAGAGATGAACAGACTTCCAAACTGAGCAATATAATGGATCAAATTTTCCTGTCATGTCATGGAAGTACAGACAGGATCATGCTTCTCCTGGATGGGAGTAGGATCTTCCCAGGAGAAGCAACAGAGTGCTCCAAGAAATGAAAACCAAACCGATGATCTTTTTAAACGAAGAAAATGACTTTCCTCATATATATATATATATATATATATATATATATATATATATATATATATATATATATGTGTGTGTGTGTGTGTGTGTGTGTGTGTGTGTGTGTGTGTGTGTGTATAAATTTCATATACATATAATATATAACATATTATTTATACATATATATTCTAATTTTATTAGGAATTTGGGTGAATGGCCCTGGAGCTAGTTATAGATATGATTGTGAGCCTCCTGATCAAGCTAGGTTCCTCTGCAAGAGCCCTCTACACTTTTAACCACTAAGCAATCTATCTCTCCCACCGCAGAGACAGTTATTTGTATGCATATATATGTATATATATACATACATGCATATATTTATGTGTGTGCGAACATAGGAAAATAGTCTTTAAAGGCACACACCAGATTGTTTGTGCTATCTGCTAGTTGAGAATGGGAGAAGGAATAAGGAAAAGCTTTGCTACTTAAAAACCTTGTTACTAGGAAAATAAATTATGTCTGAGTGAGAACTAGTAAGCACCAGCTTAGATGCTCTGCTGAGCTTCTAGGTGCTTGGAGAGAAGAATGGTATCTTTCAAGGGCAAGTATTAATGAAAGGTGACTTTAAGACAGAATATAATAATCATTAAGAAAAATAGCATAAAAAAAGAGTATAAGGATGAATTACAGTCACCAGCATACTGTGCATTTTGTGTACTCCAGGAAGGAATGTGCAAGGTAATATCTTCCTTCCCAATGGCTCCCTTGTTAAGCTGCGGAGGAGCACAGAGCCAGATGGCACGGACTCATTTTGCCTCCTGACCGAGCAATAAATTTTCTCCCACCTCTCCTTGTGGAATCAGTTTTATTCACTGCAGGAGTAATCTTTACTCTGGGACCAGAGCTAGCAGGGAGGTCCTCCTCAGGATGCTGACCCACTGACTATGATAATTCTCCTCCGGTCTTACTTCTCTCCCCATCCGGTAGTTCATGCTAGAAAGATCCTGGACCAGAATTCTGACCACAAAATTAAGATATTCTGTTTAATGAGGCCAAATGCAAATTGCTCAAGTAAGGATATTAAGGGATGATAGGCACCTTAAAAAGTGTTCAGAGACTGCTAACCTCCACTAAAGGATGCTCTGGATGTCACAGTAATTTCTTTATTCTTTTAAGACTGCTATTATTAAACTACTAAAAACCAATGGAAATGACAAAGTACTATCCAGACATGAGCTTAGTTAGCAGTGCTGTTTTACTTCATGCTTAGTTGATAGGAGAACAGGTTTTGTCAAACAATTGAAATAATAAACTTAAAGATACAAATATAATTATGGACAAAAATGAAACTCACTACAGGTTTTTAAGCAAATGTTATAGACACGATAGTCATTCCTAATTTGATCGACTGTTATCTGTTCTTAAACCATGATACAATCTGAATACTGGTAAAGTCATGTCAGCATGAATGCATCCCTAGGGCTGGTGTTTGAAAAAAACCATGTTCGTTTTGCATATAATTCCTTTATTAATGTCTCGTTTTTATGTTACTGTTCTTACTTTTCAGACACACTATGAAAATGGAGAATATATCATCAGGCAGGGGGCAAGAGGAGACACCTTCTTCATCATCAGCAAAGGGAAGGTAAGCGTGAGCGGCACATTACAAGAACGCACCCACTGAGTCTTGTCCTGCGTGAGCTACCCTTTCTCTGTCTGAGAATGGAGCTTCCAAAATAGGATTAAAAAAAGAAGGCATGTAACTTCATGTCTGGATATTAACAACCACAACACTAGTTGCTACTGCTAAGTCACATAAACAGAAAGACATCCATCAGCCAAAGTATACACATGACTACTTAAAATCTATCTAGTCTTTAAGAACAGTAATTACTTATAATGAAGTATTTGGGCTTTGGAATCAGATGGCCCCATTTGATTCTCTAAAATTAACTTCTTTTATTCATTTTAGGCCAATGCCTTGATGTCTTAAAGGCAATGCTGATATAAATATATGTAATGTTGTAGTGTAGCTTCATGGAGAGTGTTAATTGAATGCCAAGAAGCAATTAAAAGTAGTAAAGTATAGGAGGAAGGGTAAAAGCAGATATTATTATGAATGAAAAAAATCATTCTGTGTTCTTATGCTCTTTTAGTTTTTAATCAGTGTGAATCTATTATAGTATTTATTTTGGAACTATGAAATTAGGTAAACCAGGAGGTGGAAATTAACCTCATATTACCCAAACACTAGAACTTAACATTTCATTGTAAATTATCCTTAAAGAGAGTTTCTTTTTTTCTATATATCAGGTTTGATGAGGGATAGGGAGGGAAAGGCTAGAAAATGGAAAACCTAGAGAAGACTTACGTGCCTGTTTCATTATTGTAATTAGTCAACTTATGTCTTAACTATTGTACAAAATGACTAAATTTTGTACTGTAGAATTTATACCAGAAGACTTACAGAAATTCTATAAACAGGAAAGGTAGGAGACTCTAAATTTTAGTGACTTAAATTTTAGGTGATTCTTGTGTACTAATTCTGGATCAAGATTACACATATCTCAATGTTTATAGCAATGACATGCCATACTAAAATATACAAATCTTACACATTTTTACTGTATATGCTCATCTTATTGATATCTGGAAGTCTGGAATAGAAATATACATCATAGACTGATTTCATAAAGGACATCATAAGGGGTTAGTGAAGAGGGTTCAACAAGAAAAGGCAAGTGCAAACAGACCTAAAGATCTGAGTTCAATACCCAGGACCTACACAGTAGAAAGAGAAAATCAACTCCTACAAACTGTCCTCTGACCTCCATTTGGACACTTTGGATCTATGGAGTATGCATATCCATCTACATGCCAACATTCACACAATGAAAATGTAGTATTTTTTTAGTGAAGGGAATAATAAAATGGCATGTTTAAATATAGTTATGTTTAAAATCATAGCTTATATTTTCCTGTGTTAGGAGCCAGGAAATGCTAATATACTGTGGTTTATATAACAAACTGGCAAACTTTGTTACTTACCGTCTTCTTTGTTAGCTAAAGCTGATTAAAGAGTCAGGGATAGAAAATTCTCTTGCTTATGTACCACTTGATGAACTCAGGAGGACAGTTTATACTGGAGTCTGACTTTGTTATCTTTCCAAATTCTAATTATTTGCTGCCAAGGCGTAGCTGTGCTTAACCATTAGGAAGGACACCCTGCAATCACTTATGACTGTCCCATTTACTGCAAATTGCCAGTATTGCCTGAAGCAAGACGGTTGAAACCTATTTTAGCTGGAAACAGGTGCATTAGGGGTTCTGTTTTATGAGTTCTGTAGCCTGTATAAATAGAAGCACTTGGAGATTTTACCACAAGAGCCAATTACTTTGGCAGTACTTTGGTGCAATATTAGAATTTTGAGAGAGAAACAGTCATAATGTATTAGATTCCTTGGACACAGTCAAGTTTTTCTGTAAACCAACTATAGAATTTTTCTTAGTTTCTCAAGTCATACAAGTTAGTGGCTATGATTCACAACTCTGACAATTGTTGCATTCATTATATTAATTCTATAATGATACATTAAAATCAGGGCAAGAAGCAAAAGGTGTTCATACTTGTCTCCATTGTATGGAATAGGAAAGAAAACAGTGGTTCCAAGGTAAATAAGCTATGAAATTAGAATTGTAAATAAACTCATTATAAAACCTATTTATTGTAAATAAACCAATGTAAATTTTCCCCATGCATATATAAAATTTATAAAAACCAACCCTGGTAAAGAATTTTTCCAAAATATATTACTGGATTTTTATTTATTTTGTGGGAGTTCATGCTAGAATGAGGATGCATTATTACAGTGTGTGTGTGTGTGTGTGTGTGTGTGTGTGTGTGTGTGTGTGTGTGCTGCAGAGTGCAGGTCAGAGGACAGTTTGCAGGGGTCAGTTCTCTTCATTCATGCTGTGGGTGTCAGGTTTGAACCCCGGTTATCAGGCTTCTCTCCTCACTGAGTCCTAGTAAAGATACCATCTTGGTTAACACTTGCCTTAGTTCGTTGTCTATGATCAAGGTTTAATTTGGAGCTTATGGTTTAAGAGGGTTGGAGTCCATGGTGACAGAGCAAATGCATGGCAGTAGGAGCAGCTGAGAGCTTACAGGTTCTTCTGCAACTGGAAGGGAGAGAAACCAAGAGACTTTGAGAATGGCCCAAGTGTTTTGAAGCCTCTAGGCTGGGCCCCAGTGACACATCTCCTCCCACAATGTCCCACCTTCTAATTCTTCCCAGACTGTTCCACCAGTTAGTGGTCAGGGACCCAAACACATGAGCCTCTAGGGATTTCATATTCAAACCACCACAGTGATGAATAGAAGTTTTTCTTTTTGAAAAAAAAAATGCTGTGAGATAGGAGGAGACGCACAACAGTGGTCGCAGAGCAACCAACGATTTCCCCTTGTTCAGTTCTGTTTATCTAACTGTAGACCATGTTTTATTCTTCCATTAAATGAACGCACACAAAAGAGAAACATAATATAAACTTTGAAAAATTTGTTTTTTCTCTCAATGGAAATTTACAGTTATTTTTTTCTGAAATTTGGAGTTTGATACTTGCAGCAGCAACGTGTAACTTAGAAATTAAGTTCCTTCTCTGATTTTTAGTTGGTAGATTCCTGTTCTTTGAGAACATGGCATTTTCAACACAGGTCGGAAGCATCAAAGAATTCTGCAAATATCCCCAGCAGTCTTACATCAACACCCTATCTCTCTGTAAATGAAATGTTCCAAAATTGAACAGGATTATTATATTTCAAATTAAAGCCCTGTAATATGTAGCTAGGGATATGGTACAGTTGTCAAGAGAGCACACTGTTCCTGGAGTGGACACGTCTGGTTCCTAGTGCCCACAACACATCAGGGGACTCTCTTTCATTTCATCTTTAAAGGATCCTACGCCTCTGACTTCTAAGTCACCTGTTCCCATGTGCACATACCCTCCACCCCCACATACCCAATCCCCAACACAAATCATTAGGAATGAATAAAAAATCAACCTTAGTGATGAGTCCGAGACACAACTACATGCTTAATAGCATCTAGATGGGAAGGAAATGTTGACTATACCAAATTCTGAAAAGCAAAACAAGGAGACTTCTAAGGCACTATTGACTAAGATGGCAAGATTAAATTATTCTGAAAAAAAAAAAAACGATTTGACTGCTTCTTTAAAAGTTAATAAAATGTTTGCCATATGATCCAGCAACCTTATTCTTTATTGATTCTAGAGGAATGAAAATGTAGTTCTCGCAAAAACATGTCCTTCAATGTTTACAGCAAAGGCCAATCCAATAGAAAACTAGTCAACAAGGATAATTGGATATAATCATCCAAGCCAAATATAATCTGAAAAAAAAAATGTTCCTCCTTTATTAGCTTCAGGACAAGGCTCTCTAAGCCCAGCCTTCCTAGAAAGCTACCACCTTACAATGGTAAGTGCTAATGACAGCACAATATATACCAACTTCCATGAGTCAGCATCAGCACCTGAAACACTGAACATGTTTAGTCCTTTCTTGTTCTCCATTTGTGTGAGCATTGACCCACTGAAACCTGACTCATGGGGGCCAGAACACAAGTACAGGGAAATCGGTAGAAAATTTGTTAATAGTATCATAGTAACGACATATAAGAATAAAACTGGGAGCTATAGTTGCGTCTAGGGAATTGCTAAGCTGTATACTATTTATGTAATGGGACAGCTATGCAAATAGAGGAAATGTGCTTGAGCTGCTTATATTAACATGAATGAATCAGAACCCCTGAGAGTATAGAACCAGCAACTCCCACTTTAAATACGACTCCCCACTGCAACTTCTTCATCTATAAAAGCCTCATCAACATGCAAATTAGCATCTCTATGATATAGCTTAGTGGTAACTGACAGTTAAAACGGAATTTTCATGGTTTGAAACACCATGTAGAAGGGTAATCAAATGGATCAGTGGAGAATAATAATTGAATTCCCTTTACCTTGCACAAACCTCCCTAATAGTAATAAAAGTTCTGGTCATTGACATCCAATGTCGAGGTTGAGAAGCCTGAAGCATGCTGTTTTTAATGTGCTTAAGTGCTTGGCATTGTCTCAATAAATTAGTTTTCTAATGCATTGTATTTTTCAGGTAGGTGAATTTTAATTATTTAGCCTTTCTGGATGGCCGGTAGTAGTATTATTATTCCTATATCTTGAAGAAATGAATGAATGCAAAGTAGTATGTAGGGTAATTATATTTTCCCCAAACAACAAGGAAACACCATTGAGAAACAAAGGAAAAACATGGACAGAATACGTCATTAAATTCATCAAAATAGTTGTTTCATTGAAGGCAATAAAATCGAGAGTATCAATGAAGATTAAGTGAAATTCTTATTTCTTAACAATGCATTTTTGAAAAGGAGATGAAATATGTAGAATAAATTCATGGGAAAGCATGGGATTTGCAAGCATGCAGTTGATTTAAATGCTCGTCTCTCTTTGTAGGTGAATGTCACTCGGGAAGACTCACCAAGTGAAGACCCAGTCTTTCTTAGAACTTTAGGGAAGGGAGACTGGTTTGGAGAGAAAGCCTTGCAGGGGTAAGTGGATCGTATGTGCACGGTTTTTGTTTGAATACTATACAGCTTACTGAGCTTCTGGTACAACAGACCCTTCTCCTTGGGCCCGCACTAATACCAGACACAGACCTTTAGCTGTTGCATTTCCTAAATTCCAGCTGGGTTTGTGATCTCTTTATATCTGCTGTAGGGTTGAGTAAGCTTTCAACATAAACATGAGATCTTAACCAGAACATGTTTCATTTTTGTGTTCCTTAAGTGAAGTCTCTCTATATAACTGAAACAAGAGGGCTAGGACTCTTTTTTGTTTTTGATTTTTTTTCTGTTGTTTTGTTTTTGTTTTTCAAGACAGGGTTTCTCTGTAGCTTTGAAGCCTATCCTGGAACTAGCTTTTGTAGACCAGGCTGGCCTCGAACTCACAGAGATCCACCTGTCTCTGCCTCCCGAGTGCTGGGATTAAAGGCATACACCACACTGCTCAGCTGAGGGCTGGGACTCTTGACCTTACTGCAAACAGTTTTTCTTGGAATCAGAGGAAGGGGGATAACTAAAAAAATTTGAAATCTTAAACGGTACCAGCAGTGAATCAGCAGTGAAGCCTTCCCAGAAGGATGGTCACCTCTAGTGACTGTTGTCACTGCAAGATGCACACACCTGAGTTCACTGTGGGAAAGCTCACAAGCTTGGACTCGTGGAGGTACTCGTTAAGATGACTCCAACTTTGCTTTTTCAATTCAGCTTTCGGGAATGTGGCAAGAACTTGAGAGTTCTTCTCAAATCATATGGAAAAGTAGCCAAGTTGGTTTTGTGATTTTCATTTTACAGAATGCATGACAAATAATTTGGGGGCCTTTATCTTCCAATAAGCAACATATTTCCTTATCAATTAATATGATACTTTTGAGATTTTAGTTTCATATGTATCTGCAGAACTTGAAGAAGAGCCAACTATTCTTCAAGTTTCTATAACACTGGGATAGAATTTACTCTGATTAGAATATCATTTTAAGATTATAAGCACTCATCAAAAAGTACTTAAAATTTGCTTAGGCTGTTTTGATTTTGGTGTCACAGTCAAGGGGCAGGTTTTATTCTGTTTCTTGTTTCACCGCCACAGTAACAGAACCAGGCTATCTCTATAGTCCTTAGTTGGATGGTACCACTGGAGGGGAATTGAAGAATGAACTACAATAACTTTCTATTTATCTTTCAATGGGTTTGTTGGCTCCTTGTCTGGTGAGCATGCATTTGCCATTAGATTTTTCCCAATTTCCAAACAGGAAGAAAGCAAGGACAGTGTTCCCAAAAGGACACAGTAAGCATTGTATCCCTAAACTGAAGCTTAAGAAACTCATGCCATATCTGTCTTTTCTCTGATTATTTAATGTGTGTAGGGCTCTATACAATGATGCTGCATCATTTCAGTGGTTTAAAAATCGTCTGCTTCTGTTGAAAACAATGTTATTTCCGCAGAGAAAACCAAATGAGAAAATAATAAAAACAAAGGAGACAAACAAACCCCAGAAACGTTTCTAATCATTTGCAACTAAAAATCACAAGTCGAATGCTGAAAGATAAATCAGGAATGGAAATCAAAAGATGGTCTTTTGTAGTTTATTGTCATGGGATCAGGCACCAAACACAGGCTTTCATAGTTGACAATACCTTCCTAGAAAGTACAATGCTATAAAAATTTCACCAAGTTTTGTTCTGATATCAGAATTTATGTTACTAAACTCCAAGTTGCATTCTTTCTAGTATCCACTTTGAATAATTTTTGACAGTTTCATGTATACATATACATTTGCACATATGTGTATATATACATATATATATGATATATTGGGATTTTATATATCCCTCACTTCCTTCTTTCATATACCCTTTTCCTCTAAACCCCTTCTTTCTAACTTCTCTCCCCAAATGAATTCCCCATTAAATAAAATAATTCCACCTCTTGTAGCAACAGTTAACAGTCAACAGCTCCTTAGGAAGTGTGGGGCCTCATGAAGTTCCCTGGGAAGTGTCTGTCTTTAGGATATGTGTCCTGTCCTTGACAGTTCCCCTCTATTCATGGTGGGATGTTTAAGGCACAGTCTTGTACAGGTATCCCTTGCTGTCTGTGTGCTCCTGATTCCAACTGCTGAGTAGTCTCTGAGTGGCAGTGATTCGTGGCAACTCCTTCCTGTCCTCTAAATCTCTACCTTCTCTTCTTCCAAAATTCCCTGGGCCTTTGATGAGGGACCATACGGATGTCCTAGTTAGGGCTGAGCATTCATTCATTCTTAGCACCTTTACCAGACATAAGTCAATACATTGTTACCCTCTGCAAAAAGGAACTTCTTTGCCCCAGGTTGATGGTAGCACTAGTCTGTGGATATAAATATAAAAATTTAGAAAAAAAAATTGGCAATATGTCCATTTAAAGGACCATAGTGAGTGTGATGGTAACTTTTTCATATCATCTTGACACAATTTAGTAGTAGTCTTGAGAAGGGATTGTCCAAATCTGTGAGAGATTATGTTGATGGGTGGGAAGGTTTTTATGATTCTCTTCTCTAGATAGAGACTATTCTGCACTACGCAAGAGTAGAGAAAGAACTGAGCTGCAGCACATGTACATGTGTTCATTTTTTTCTCTGCTTTCAACTAGATGTGACTAGCTGCTTCACGTTTCTCCAGCAGTGGAGTTATCCTGGAATTGTGAGCTACAATAGACTCTTTCTTCTCTAAATTGCCTTTGTCAGGATGATTTTTTTTTAAATTACAGCAACAGGAAATGAAACTAAGACAGTGGGTAAAACAAGAAGGCAGTTTGCAAAGCCTTCTGTAATGAAGAGAGCAGTTGCTGAACTCCCACGTGAGCCTACTCCACAAGGATGTGACCTCAGCTTATTAAAAAGAAAACATGAGTAGGATATGAAATTCGATTCCTAATCTTGATTAGAAAGCACAAGTCTGCAAGCTAATTAACAGCTTCTGCAGGATGGCTCGTGGGTTGCAATTAGGTGATTTCTGTCAATTAGAGATACCTTTCTAAAATATCCTTTACATGACTTATATCACATTAAGACTTTAATTGAAGAAATCCTCCGAAGTAAACATGACCTGATCAGTCCCTTGTTTTGATGCTTTGACATGTCAGTATCTTAGCTCTGTATGGTAGTTGGAAAGAAAATGATCTCTCAGACTCACAGGGAGTGGCACTATTAGGAGGTGAGACCTTGTTGGAGTAGGTGTGACTTTGTTGGAGGAAGTTCATCACCAGGGGACAAGCTTTGAGGTCTCAAATGTTCAGGTCAGGTCTAATGTGACATTCACTTCCTGCTGCCTGCTCCAGCACCATGTCTGCCTGCACACAACCATGCTATCGGCCATGACAAAAATGGAATAAATCTCTGAAACTGTAAGCCAGCCATAGTTAAATGTTTTCCTTTCTGAGAGTCACTGTGGTCATGGCGTCTCTTCACAGCGATAGAAACCCTACGACAGTCAGTAATGATTTTTCAACCTGAATCTATATTCTTTATCTTTCTTTAAATTTCAATGTTTCACACAAGAAATTTCAACTTACTCAAATCAACTTCTAAGTTACTTAAAAGTTGTTGTAACTTCAAGATACAAAGTCTTATGGGCAACTGTGTATCCTTTGGATAATAGTTGCAAACCACATAATGCCTTTAGCCTTAGAAACAATTTTGTATTCAGAGCATATGTCAGACACCATTTCAGATGGGTGGTTTGCTTACAAAAAAAATCTTCCTTTGTACTGGGAATTTTTGTTTAATTCTCCTGAATATGTTGGACAGATCATTAGAATACTAATATGATTGTATTTAGATATAATTAATATACTCTTGAGAATTCTTTTTAAAATCCAGAGTGCTTAATATGAACACTGATTAGGAACATAGGAGAAAATTTTATATTTATTATCAATTGTATATCTTGCTTATGGAACTCAGCCCCTGACCACTGTAAAAGTTTGCCTGTAGAGGTAACATTCTTTAGTTCCATTGTAGTGGAAGCATTAGAATTCTAACTATAGACATCTTTTAGGCTGTTTTATTAATATCCATCCCAATAACTTACTGTTACTGGGGAAGTTGGAATCACTTATATATTCACTTTGATCACTTTGTATAAAACAAATTATGCACTATTGTCTAACTCAATCACTTTCTTTGTCCTTTGATAATGGCTTCTGTATACCAGAAAAACAAAAATATTTTTCCTGTTGTGTAAGTTTCTCCCTATGGGCATAAAAATAACACTTGGGTTGAAATTATTTCATCATTGTGAGATATTCATTTACCCTTTGTCTTATCATTCTTTTATATCTCTGTCTGATCTGAACAATGTGGGTCATAAGTGAGCATTGGATGTATATGCCAAGTAATGAGAACGACGGAAGACCAAGATGAATTAGATGGGCTGGAGCTCCTTGCCACCCAACTTCATTTCTGCCGTCACATGACCATGGCTTGTGCTCAAATATTTCAGCAGAGGTGTCTGATTTGGGTGGGACCCCAGTTTATCATTTACTAAATATGAGAGGCTTTCTTCTCGTCTACCATGAAGATCCTGACGACATCTTATCTTGGGGATTGTCGTGAGGATTGACCAAGGGGAGACTTGGGAGGCATTTGGGCAAGTACCTAGAAATGTCCCGAGTGCCTCCCAAAAGTGGCCTGCTGCCACATCTGCACCTTGGCCTTCACCTCCATTATTACCATTTGAAAGATGTCATCCCTTTATATTTCACTTAGTGCTTAATGGAGATGTGGAGCACTTGCTACAACTGGGATAGCAAGATTTCAAGTGAATCCCGCATTCATTTGTAACTCCAGGCGAGCTGGCTAACTAACCTCTGTTTCATCCCTTTCTGATTCTGCACAGTAACCTAATCAGACTAAGTAATTTCTGATTTCTTAGATGACAACTTTTGACTCAATGAGATTTGACCCCTTTATAGCTAGAACAGATTTCTGACCACAAATGTAGCCCCAAAGCTGTCCAAA